AAAATTGTTTATAATTGAAAAATAAACCTTTTTTTTCTGTATGTGTGTGTGAGTTTGTACTTTATAAAAATGAATCAAATCGTAATTGAACAAAATTGACTATAGAACTTGCATTTTTTTTCCTTAAAAATGCGTACAATGAGTGTACTTTTTGCACAAGTTATTTTTCTATCTTTCTCAACTTTTCCGGTTTAAATTTTTTTGGTGTGGTTTTTGTGTAAAAATGATCTAAATAAAAACGATTGAATGATGTTTATGATAGTGAGCAAAATAAATATTATAATTTTAATAGTTGAGATCTTCAGTCAATTGAAGCTAGACCACCATGGAGAACCTGGAAGCACTGGACTGCCGTTTCGTTCTACTGTTGGACTTGTCAGCAGTGCGCATTCACGGTCCCGCTGCGCGAGATTCGAACCGAGGACCTTCCAAAATAAATATACTGCGTTATCAGAGGATCTCTGAATAGAAGATATATTATTTTAAAGGGAATTGTATTGAGTTGAATTCAACTGGGGAAATATTTAATGTCAGAAAGCGCTTGTGCAACTGTATGTTTCAAATTTCTAGTGATAAATGGATGGAGGTAGTCGGAAAGGAACAGTGTATACAGGTTTTATCTATTTGAACTAACTGATATTCCCAGTAGGATCTGAACTCACGTCAACCGGAATTATTATTTCAGTAACGTAGATATGTAGAACTTCCATCGTAACTTACACTGGTAACGTAATCGACGGCATGTTATAGTTAATAGTGATAATTTTTACTTATTCATTTCTTAGTTTCGATAAATTCAGTGATTATCTACCTCACATTACTTTAAAACATTACTTTAAGCAGTGCGTGTACACGTTAATCAAAAGTCACAAAATCACATCTATAAATACTAATTATTTAATCAATGGAAATTAATTTGTAGTAAAAATTGCCTATACTCACATGGTTAATGAAATCAGTCGCTAAAGTTAATGGTATGACAGAGTATGGACGTTAATTATTATCTGAGGTTTAAACAAACACACACAGAGAAAGACGGGTTCAATCATTGCGTACTATCACATTGTCTATTATCTCTAATTATCATTATGGTTGATAAAAATGAACTTTATGATACTTGGATGAAGAATATCCGTTGGTAGTAAAGTTAGGTTAAATATTGAGAAATGAATTATGGTAAAATAAAGATTATAACGTAAGCTGTTGACGATACTTGAGACTACACTTGATTTGTTTCTATTATAATATACGTATTGCGAGCGGATTGTTTTCATAAAGTTATAAATTTAAAAACATTTCAAGATGGTTAGATTGCAGGACTAATCAATGGAATTACAATGGAAAATTACAATCTCTTAAGTACATGGAATTTCATAGTCCTTGAACAAGTTAGTGGTTCTGAGGACCCAATAGATATGTGAATAGCAAGTTCTTATTCGAACTGAAGGGTACAAAGTCAAAGCCTCACTATGAGTAATAACACTAGACCCAGGTACTTCCAAATGACGGACTCTAAATGAAGCAAAACCTCATATTCAATTTCACTGAAAGTCGTAATCCGAAAAAAAGAAATCTTGACATTTTAAGGAGAGATATATAATTCCCATTCCAATATTAACAATACAAAATTCAACAGAGAGATCCCATTTCAACGAATTTATTATCGAACTGTGAAATAGTATTCGGTATAACGAAAAAAATTTTTAATTATTTTTTTCTATTCATATTCAATGTTAGCTTATTAATTTTGCGTGCATTTCCATGTGCATATATCCTGAAGAAGTTACCCAGTATTTATTAGTATTATCTACACTATAGAACCTAGTTTGAAGACAAATACTGGATATTATTGATTGATTGAAGGACTGTTAACTTTCTCGATAGTCTCTCTACAGTAATATGTTTATTATTACATTTGGGTTTGACTTACGAAGGTAACTAGAATATGCCCTTCAAATGAGTTTGGAAAAAGGGGATGAGCGCCCATCTAAAGATTTATAGTTTCTATAAGCTTTTCAATTTGATTTACAAACAACCGATAATTAACCATTAGGATTAATCCATTTTAGTTGTTGTATGGTTATATGATGTTAATTAAATGTAATTTACTGACATATCACACCATATTGTTCAGTTTATTCATTGTATTCTGTAAGTAAACTTCAAATGAATGAGTCAGTATATACTGAACGAACTATGAATAATTCGAGTTTTTTCTTGACTTCTATAATAGAATGCTGTTCACTGTTATTCATAGACCAACTTAGTGCAGATAACATGTATATTCATCGCACTGAATATAATATCTTCAAATAGTAGATAGTGAAAGTATGATTCATACAATTCTCTGATAAAATATCAGCTGGTTTTCGATTATGTACTTGAGTAAAACTGTAACAATGGTAGTGTAAACAGAGAGAGAGAGTAAGTATTTAAGATACGTTGGATACAATAGGATTCTACCATAGCTGTTTCTAGATGCATCAACGATTATACCCTGAAGATGAACGTGGAAAATAACTATAATGGTTATTGTAAATACAATTAAACGTGGGTACAAATAGAAGGATGTGAGACCTTCAACTTAGGTATCCAATAAAGAAGTATTTCACATAGACTGTGCCGAAATATGACCGGAATATTTAGCAAAGTAGCTTTAGATAGTAGTATTTTTTTATTGCTAAAACTAATAAGGTCACCATTAGTAGCAAATGTTTCTACAAATCTATTTATTTTGGAGTTTTTTTACATCATCTTCAAATGAAATAATGATCTATGCAAATCGTTAATATCTGTTGGCTAACTTTCTGATCAGTATTCATATCTATTGCTCAGATACACATGGTATATTGTTACACTGCATGAAATGTTACCACAACATTAGTTCATTTGCTACTAATGGTAAATGTTGGTACAGATGTCAAGGTAGAATATTCTAAGTTATTTTTACTGATCATTTACTTACATTCGAATCAACAAATTTATTTACGTATATGATGTATACTTTTCTATTCATAAATTTTCCTAAGATGTAAATTAACTATCAAATGGAGTATTATGTAGAAGAAAAAATCTTTGTTGACAAAAATAACAAACAGGATTCTGTATAATAATTTCATTAAATTTTTCATTATATAATAACTTTCCACTCAATATCCAACATAACAATGTTTTAGTTTCGAGAATCAATAAAGAATTCTCTCATTTATGAAGTTCAGTATAACTAATAAGCTCATTTACATGATACTATTACTGATTACAAGACATTCATTATTAAATGTTCTATTTGGGTAAATGTACTAATCCTTGTATGTGATGCTCAGATAAATTACAATAGTTGAGATCATGAGTCAGTTGAACCTAGACCACTATGGGAAACCTGGAAGCACTGGAGGACCGTTTCGTCCTGTCGTGGGATTTTTCAGCAGTGCGCATCCACGACCCCGCCTCGCGGGATTTGAACCCAGGACCTATCGGCCTCGCGCGCGGACGCTTAACCAGTAGACCACTGAGCCGGTACCCAACGGTGTTAATGTCTAACTTTAACTAATTCACGAAATTGAGCGACACATCCATCATTATCATCAGTGAGTTACTATCTCACAACAGGCCCGGTTCAACTCCACTGGGTTCAAGTCCTGCGAGGCGGATGTCGTGAATGCGCACTGCTGACAAGTCCCACAATGGGACGAAACGGCTGTCCAGTGCTTCTAGGTTTTCCTTGGTGGTCTAGCATCAATTGACTCATGATCTCAAGTTTAACAATTACTACAACCTCCACAAAATCCCTTCCAATACTAAGATAAATTAGTTTAAAACCTGCGGAAGAGTTACAATTAATATTTTTCCTATGTAGGTAAACTGGAAATGAAGTTTGTTAAATCAGAACTTCCTATTTACTTCCTTGGGATATTTTTTAAATACCTTTTTATATTCTTCACTTTAAAAAATGAGACGTGTTAATGATTTAATTATTCAAAATCACTTTGAATAGTTGATTTGGTTTTGTATACCGAGATAATACATGAATTTGAAGTAAAATCTACGTTACAACAGAATTCAAACTAAATGATTTAGCTGGATAATCAGTCGAATATTTCAGAGACTAAGACACGACAGTCAACTAATAAGTGGATGGTCACTTCGCAATAAATTTGTAGATATCCAGTCCATTGAGTGAATACAGTACTTTTGGAATGAAATTGAATGTGTAGACCATTGGAGACCAAGTCAATAATAAAAAAGTATCCTACTACCCAGGATATATATGGATATGATTTTTAGTTAGATGTCAATTAGTTATTGATAAGTAACGTTGAATCAGTATATTAGTTCAAGTTTCCGCATCACATCGACTAAACGAGAAGAAATTATCAGAACAAATTTAAGAGTAATGAAAGTAGTAACGGAATCAGCAGTAATAAAAAGTTTAAGTATTGGAGGTTATGATGGATTCGTAGGACAGAAATTATAAAATATTTTTTAAACATAAAACTTAATAGAAAACAAATAGTAAGTGTAACTAAACTAATCCATTTCACGAAATATCCCCAACCGTTCTTTACAATAATCATGTGAAATCTAAACCAGTGGTCTCCAGTAACCAATATGGTTCAACTCAACAATCAGTGACTTTATGGAATGATACCATGTGTTGGTTTGGTATACTTAAACTTTCTATCAACCTACTGTAACACCAAAAAATATTACCCTTCTAGGTATAAGACAACTGAGTATACGTAGAATATGTATACAACAGTACAATGTTGAAGAGTTTAAAGCTAATACAAATCAACTTTCATAGCTTCATGGTGCTTGGATGCAAACTGCTGAGGAGTTCCACTATAAGATGAAACGGCCGTCCAGGTTTTTAATGGTGGTCTAACATCAATTAGTCCATGATTTCAATCAAAAATCTAATAATCTTCACAACCCTACACTGATAATTCTTCATCTGTCTTTAATCTTTCTTTTTGATATTTAAAGAATTTAAAACATATTAAATATATTACTTTATTTTTTATTTTTTATTAATGATTATAATCAGTTATTAGCATTAATGGTACATCGTTCCAAAATATAAAATTGTATAATGTTTTTTTAAAATATTTTTGCAAGATAATTAATTTAATTAAAAATTATGTACAGAATTCAATTTCCTTTTAAATAAAAATTTTCCTATTTTGATAAATGGAATTCAATGGAAATTTCCCATATGGATAGTAACCATTAGAGTTACGATAGACTTCACTATCGAAATATATATATGTATAAAGTATTGTTTTTTTTGTATTTAAACTCTTGTTTAAATATATTAGGTTTTTTGTTATTTTCTTTAATTGAAGCATTCAACATTTCATTTGACTAGATTAATGTCCAGCTAATGGAATCCCAATACTTTTATTACATTGTAAAGTAGTTCGATTGTCTGATACTAAAACTGTAAATGAAATGGAAATAAATTGAATTATTTTAAATAATAACTAAAAGAAGAAGAAAAAAAGTTTATTATCCATTAAAGCCTTGGATATTGATGGAATTTCATTTGACCAAGTTACAAAATATTTTCTAGTCTAAGAGATTCAATATTATAATCACCATGTTCAAAAAATCTTAGATATAGGTTTTTCGTTAATCGATACTTGTTATTAGGAGTTATCTGTCATTTATAAAAATGTGTTAATTCTGTAATCAATAGTAGTAGCATTTTACATTGACTACTTTTAAAAACTTAAAATTACAATTTGCTATTGTATACTATTGTCAAGACAGTTCTACTGTATGAGACAGAAGCCTGGAAAACAACGAAAGCCAGAAAATACAGGTGTTTATTAACAGTTGTCCACGCAAAATACTTCGGATCCGTTGGCCGGACACTATTAGCAACAACGTACTGTGGAAGAGAACAAAACAGACCCCAGCGGAGGAAGAAATCAGGAAGAAGCGCTGGAATTGGACAGGACACAAATTGAGGAAATCACCCAACTGCATCACAAGACAAGCCCTCACATGGAATCCTCAATGCGAAAGGAAAAGAGGAAGACCAAAGAACACATTACGCCGAGAAATGGAGATAGACATGAGAAAAATGAACAAGAATTGGATGGAACTAGAAAAGAAGGCCCAGGACAGAGTGGGTTGGAGAATGCTGGTCGGTGGCCTATGCTCTATTAGGAGTAACAGGCGTAAGTAAATAAGTATGTATTGTATACTATAGATGATTTATATACTTGAGTGTATTCTTTTCTTTTTCAGAAATGATATAACCAACATATTTAAATGATTTTAATTGTTTTAATTAGTAGAATTTAGAAATTATCAAATTAATTAGTTCATTTAACTTAACAATTAGTATGATGATTCACATTATTGTTATCTGTTTTGTTATTTATAATACGGTAAAATAAATAATTAGTTTAACATTTTCTTTTTTTTCTCTCTATCTCTTATATTGCCTAAATCATCTTTAAGTTTCCTTATATATATTCACACATGAGTAGAGAACAAATTAGAATTCTTCATGTATAATAATCATATTTAAAGTGTCAATCATTGATTTCCCATATATTCTTCATTTATAAGTTACATATATGTATATTGCTTGTTGTTAAATACAGTTTGTGTTATTTCTCTTTCAAACATTTTATTATTGTTATGATTGATATAATTTATTCCTCTGTTATGTTACTCCTCTTGGTGTGTGTATATGTTGTTGAAAGATTAAACCTTAATTAGCCATTTTACATGTAAAGTTTTTCATTTTCCATTAATTTTGTTAATAATTACAATTTATCTTTTTTTCTGACTTGGGTGGATCATGAATGAAAGGTCTCGTTATTGTCTTATTATAAATGATGATACATCCAACCGATGAATCCGAATTAGATGAAGTGTGTGACTAACGTCACACAGAGTTCTTTACTTGTAAAACGTTCATGATTCTGGGCAGTAACCTTATAGGCAATTAGTAATACTCACTGCTACAATATCTCAAAATACAGAGCAAAACATTCCTAGTTGTCAATACTTTCCCGGATAACATTAGTCTATGCTGTTTTTGTGCTATTATGGAGATTGTTGAATTCGGAGCTTGACATTACAAAGTGATTTGACTTAGACAACCAAAGAAAATTAATTGAAGCTAGGATACTGTTTTGTTGATGATTATAGATGATGGTACGGGAATATCATGAATTGAGTCAAATTAAGAATCTAAGTCATTAGATACGTTCACAGTGAGGCATGAAAGTCCTGGATTCGACCTCCGATAGGGAGATCAGAATAAAAACGAAATAGATCCTTGGTACTTCATAGTTTTCAATAGTTTCCTTAATATAGTCAATCTATAATGTGACATTTCAAAATAATTTCTGACCATCAACCCGGTTGAATGTTTGAATTACGACTCAGTAGTCCAAAAGTATCATGTTTATTGACAAATCTTAAGATTATGCGTTCTGTCCAGTTGAATTCATTTTAGGACCTCAACAAATCGTTCATAAATAGGAATAAACGGCTGTATAATGTTCCTGATTTCCAACTTTCCTTGAACTGTTACCAGTTAATGATAAAAAATCATCTTTAATCTGTGCATATCTTTCCACAAAACACTCTCTATTAAATAATGGTAACATTTATCTAAAAGTAATATTAATTACTCTGCCCTATTGATAGTCAACATGATATTGAAAAAAAGGTTTTCAGTATAGGGGTTGTGGAGATTATTAAGTTTTAGATGGAAATCACAACCCCTATACTGATAATTACCATGTGCTCACTAATGACTAGCTTAGTGAGGGAATCCTCGGAGTTCTAGTGAGAAGCCGTGACCACTGAAGCTAATCCGGGTCGGCTAGAGACATGTATCTACCTCGTTATAATGGAAGATGATCGCGCGATTTCGTGGTTTGGTTGGGGTTATACATTAACGCCATTAGATGCCGGCTCAGTGGTTCGGTAGATTAAGCGTTTGCGCGCGAGACTGAAGGCCCTGGGTTCGAATCCCCCGGGCGGGATCGTGAATGTACACTGCTGAGGAGCCCCACAACAGGACAAAACGGTCGTCCAGTGCTTCCAGGTTTCCAAGGGTGGTCTAGCATCAATCGGTTCATGATTTCAATATAAAATAAGTTTTAACTACCCTTAAAAGTAAACGGTAGAACTTTTGTTTTATGTTTTATTCACTAGTCATGACAGACAAGTAATTTGAAAACCACTGGATATTAATTAATTATTTTAAACTATCATCGAAAATAATAATAATAATAATGGTTTCTTCATTGGATCACTATTAGAATTGGAATTTTATTTAATATTCATTTAAGGGTCTGTCATTATCTTTCCGTTTTATTCTATCTTAATCAATGAATAACAATTAATTTAATTCTAAAAACTTCTGGATTTTCCATCAATTTGAAATCTTAGTACTGATTACTTTTACATATAATCAAGACGCAATTCCATCATTTTAGTATTAGTATTATTATTACTATTACCATTGTTATTATTATTATCATTATACCATACATTAATTTATACACACAGATATTCGTTTCTTGATCATTTATCCACACTCTAATAATCTATCGAATGCCCTATTTACTATTTATGTGTACTTAGTGGTTGAATCGGTGCCTATCAAATTGAAATATTTACTCACAATATTTCCCAAACTTATTTGGGTGTACGTGTTTGTGTGTGTGTACGCACATGTGCAAGTGTGCATGTGTGTGTATTTGCACGTATTTACGTGTATTTCTTGGGAAAAAAAGTGAACAGTATAAAAAAAAATTAATTGTATATGCATATTTGTGTATACTATGCATAATGATTATTGTATACAGAATGAAATGACAACTACTTAATACATAAACAGGTGAATTTCGGGATATTGAATTTTCCATAAAGATAATGAATAAATGGTATAAAAGATTTAAGATTATTTACGTTCACTGATGTATACACCTGTGTGTTTATTTATTTATTTATATATAAATTAAGACAGATTAAAGATCTTCAGTTAAGAACTAAAACAGATGATCTTATCATTGCTGTTATGTTTTCTAATAAAACTTTTGATTGTTTTGTTTTTTATTATAATGAAGGTTTGTTTATGTACTCAATATTCGTTCTCAGTGAATTTTTTGGTTAATATAATAATCAACTTTATGTCAAATTATTTTACCATAGTCAGTTTCAACATTGTTTATACTTTAATTAGAAAGGGGTTAAATTAGATATCAGATTGAAGATGTATTTATTATAAATCTATATTTTTCTAATGTTTCCTCTAAAACGCGGCATAGAATTTGATTTTAACCAGAGATCTCAGCAATAAAATACATACTCTTTTACGAAGGTTTAAAACAACATGGAACTTCACATATAACAGAACATCTTTTATAAATTGTTTTCAAAGAGCTAGGTGTGATAGTTTCTATCTATCAATTCTAGTGCATAAAAGATGATTTTAAATAAGTTAGAGTAAACGTCGCTTTGGACGTTATTCCAATTGTTATCATAATGTAGCTTGATTGAAATAAGATGAAATGTGAAGAATAATGATACCTAATTTTCGTTAAAGTAATCTTCATTTAAAAGAATGATATCAACCGAGAAACCAATGAAAATCATAGGTTTAAATGATAATAATTTTGTCTCAAATCGGGGTTCCTCAACAGTATTCATTCAAAATTCATCTCCCACATATTCAAATCTCTTAGTTACACAATGTTGTTTGAATTATATTAAGGACACAATAGTTCACGTTCTCAACTTCAATCTATTTGCAAAATATATAGCTGAATTTCTATTAGATTTCATCAGTGTGTTGTTGTTGTCTCATTTCTGATTCGGTTGGTGTAACAAAGGTTATACCTTCTTAAAGGAACTTGAAAAACTAATCCAGAATTTATTCACTAAGTTGAATATAATAATTATTTAACAATCTGTGTCTCCAGATTTTTTTTAATAATTTTATTACAGTTTTCTTCATCATAAACTCAGACATTAAATGATTTACTTACATTCATCCTTTTTTTTTAAAAAAAAATATCACAGTTCATTAATACGAAAATTATTCTAAATAGTTTTAATCACTCAATCAATTAATATTTGCAAATGTTTAATTTAAATGCAGAAGTTAAAGCAAAACTGGAATAACATTATATATGTATATATACTTACTAGGTTGTGCCTGATCACCGGTTTTTAAACTATCCAGCGTTTCGTAAGGTGTACACATATTCCACGTGGTTGTCTGTGAATAATTACTGTTAAAATCGATTAATTTAGAATCCTGTAATATAAAATATATCAAAAGAAAAGCTGTAAAAAATTATCAAAATATCAAGTTAGACTAAATCATTTCGACATGTCATTCCTGTTTAAATATAGAGAGATAAACCTTAATTTACGATATTATCAGATTGAAATAATAATGAGAATTAATAATGTAAATGATCTATTCGTGTAGCTTAATTTATCCATAACGTTTTCAACGTTTAATAACCAGGGTATTTTTCTGTTTATTGGGTAAGCGAACGGAAAATTTATCAGTTCAGCTTTTTATGAAAGGTTTCATTTCAAGCACCAGCTTCCCTATATTTGTTCGTTTTATCCAATATGTTGTAATACGCTACATTTACATGATCACAGTAGAAAATTGCAGATAACTGCAGACTCTTGAAATAAATTTTTTAGTAAATGGAAAAGTGGATAAAAGTTCTGGATGCAATTCCCTTATTAAATATTGCAAACACTGTGGATAATCCCAGCTCATATGTTTTGATATTATTATTTAAGAAACATAAAACTCAGTTAGTTGCGTTCAGAATATGGTAGTCAAAAAGTCATTTTCCTGTGAAACTGGGTCACACTAGTTAAAATTCCATCTCGGGAAAACCAACTTCTCTATGCTTGAAGGTACGTCATACTGAAAGCGTAAATTTAGGGGCTTCCCAATGTTTTCTTCCATTCACCGGTGTTACATTATTTGAAATATTTCAGCGTTGATAATACATACTAGAAAATACTTCGTTAATATAGCCATACATAACTCAGAATGAAAATGTGGTCAGTTTACAGATGGACACGGCACTTGTACAGAAATGAACAGGTTATCCATGCTTGAATAATTGTAACTATCAGTTTAGACAGAGTCTAATTAGTGCTCATCATAAATTTATCTTTTTTTGATACCATAATATAACTTTAGATGTCAATTTTATAAATTATTGAGATTGAAAAATTAGTTTATACAAAAAACTAAATACGATCAAAAACCGAGTGATATTTGAAAGCTGTTCTATTGTAGCTCTAAACTCATCCGGTATACTGAAATAATTACGTGATTTGACTACAGAAACTACATAAAGCTAATGCGTGTTATCATTTAGATCTCAGTATACATATTTCAACTGTAATGTAAAATATTAAAAATAGGCAAGTATAATTATTTAGCGGACCCTTTCTCTCATTATTTAATTATTCACTGAATTAATGATTTTTCATACTGGAAACTATTTCGAAATTATCTTTTGTCATTTATATCAAGAAGAACTAAGTAGTATTTATCGTTATAATGAATTAAAACTATTCATTCTTGTCTGAAAGAAGATGTGTAAGGAAATGATAACATGGAAGCACTGGACGGCCATCTCATCCTAGTATGGGACTCAGCAGTGAGCACCCACGATTTCTCTGCGGGACTCGAACCTATGACCTTCCTTCACCTCTAGACCACTTATTCGGTATTCAACGGTGTTAATGTCTACCTTCAATCGATTCATGGTTTTGCCCAACCATTCAACCTTTTATCTTTGGGATAAACACTTGGATGTTTGTAAAAAAAACCTAGTGATCTTAAAATGATTGATTTGCGCTGATGAGTACTGACGTACTGTTAATTAATTTCTGTCCTTTAGCTTGTATGTAATTGAGTCGTGCATAAAAATTAAGCTTTCTAGTAGACGGTCATTTATAGTGTTAACACAAACTTCGTGATGCCTATATATAGGGCTTTAGTTATCACTGGTTGGATTGTTGTTAAAAAAATTTATCAACGGTGTGTCGGATAAGGGTTAGTATGTAACCCAGGCGAAGTACATGGGATTCCACAAACGTTTGACATTAATTTCAGTGAATATTGAACTGAAATATCATGGATAGAACTAATGCTAACAGTAATCATAATCATAGGTGTAATATTAATAACTGACTGATTTTACATGGAATTCATCTTATAAACACTTATTACTATCACAGTATTAATAATAACATTGATGTTAATGAGAGTATCAGATATCCATATAGTTTATGTGAGAGAGGAAGTATCCACTTGACATGTACAAAATGAAGAGCACCTGTTTTAGTATTCTACTTAGTGTAATACATTGACCTAAGAGTTCAAATAACATGTATCTTAATATTTATTTACTGAAAATTTAATTAATTGTCCAGATCTACTGAAACCACATAAATTTTCTCCCTCTCTCTCTTTCTATGTTTTCCTTTATTCTGTAAATGATAATCTCAACGATAACTGAACAACAACAAAAAAGATATACATTTCACTGTAGATCAATTTTTGAAAGATTTTACTAGTTTATTCTCTTTAATATAACTAACAAATTAGGAAAATGATTTATACAATGATAGTCTGATAAATATATATCCTATATTGATGTTCTTTTTATTTTCGCTTGTCTATTCTGATAACGAATAGTTATGGAAAAGTTTCATTTTAAGCCACATATATATTCATGTATATATAAGATAAAAACAAACAAACAAAGAAAGAAATTGAAACATTGATCTATGAATAACAAGTGGATTATTCATATTCTATTCATATTTATTCAGATCTTTATCCACCCTCACTTTTTTCTTTTTATCTTTCTTACTTAATTGAAAATGAATATACATAGTTATGGATACATGTGAATTTTCTATAATTTCTCCACGTGGACATTTACAATCCATACATATGAGAGAAAAAGAAAAATAGGTAGCTTATCCATATATCGAATCAACATATCCCTGACTATATAATCAATCTATCTCATTTCTTTCATATTTTTTTCGGCTTTCGCCACAGTCAACTTTAATAAATCATTCAATATTATATGTAAGTGAATAGTTCTACATCACATACAATCTATTTAAACTGTCTATTCAATATACACAAAATATAGATAAATATAACATTTAAGTAAAACACATGAATAAATATCTAACTATATCAGGAGATCAGTAATGAATATGATAAATATACAACATTCTTTGACATTCAGAAATGATGCACCGACAATTTACAACTCTGTTTCTCTTTTTTTTGTTGTTGTCGTTGTTTTTGATTTTATCTTTCTCTTATTCTCTTTCCAATTCAATTTGGTTAATAGAGAAATAAAGAGTAAAAAGAAAGGACATTTAAATAAAGTAACAAGTGAGAAAGAGAATAATAATAACAATAATAATAAATGTCTTATTTACAATTTGATCTTCTAGATTTATTCCTACAATTAATAACTACTACATTTGTTATCATCATCTGTAAGAAGTTTTACATCTTGGAAGAAAAGAGAACATTTATTCTAAACGTCGAATAATGCTTTTCACCCCCCCCTTCAAAAATTTATGTTGTTGACAGAATGACCGAATGTTAATGAACTATTCCTTTTTTACAAAATAATTTAGCTAAAGAAAAAAACAAATACCTTACTGTATGGTAAAGAAAATACGTTAACTCATTTGCCTCCTACCGATGAATATAACCTTTTATTTTTCATATTGTATAGATGTAAAATGTAGAAAATAGAAATTATTTACTACACCACTAACTAACTAAGTAACATTAATTCTAATAAAGATTGAATGTAGATTAATGCATAACATCATTCTTTTTTTTCAGTGGTAATGACAAAGTTATGGTCTCTTCTTATGAATGTAAACGTAAATGAATTATTTGTTTTTCCTACCTATTTAATAAATGTTGTCAACTTCTAGTAGTCGAAATATCATTTTTCGTTATAAGAACAGAAGAAAAAAACAAAAACAAATAAAGAATGCTTTATAGACAATGTGGTAAACAATACTAGTCAAGCATGTTTTTCCCTATACATATGTATATATATCATCACGGTATCCGAACTGGTCACCAGAGGAATCAGTAATAATGTTTTGTTTTTGTTGAGAAAAAGCAGATTATCTATTCAAACTTAATGCCAACTTGGTGAAAAGTACAAATTTATTTATCGATACGGAGATAAAGTATTGTTTGTCTTTCGTTTTTCCATGTATTATGTATTATGTATGTGATTGTTAGTGAAATTATCAGGTTATGCATTGTATGATATTTTTGGACCGACCTCAGATAAACTAATCAAACGTATCATTTCAATTTTCAAATATACTGATTGATTTTACTGTATGGGAGGGATTTCTTAAAAAACTATATTTAGTCAAACATTTTACACTGTAAGATCATATGAGTCTTGTGAGAGTTAGTTAATTAGACAAACTCTTAAGTTAAAGCTGACAATTCATAGTAAGTTAGCTATTTCGTTAAGGACTTGATTTAGATAAATACATTGAAATCATGATTTTTATTAGAACGAATCGGTAACAAACTGCTGAGGAGTCCCAGACTAGGACGAAACGGCATACTGTGCTTTCAGGTTTTCCATGGTGGTCTAGTTTCAATTGACTTATGAACTGAACTATAAAATTACTAAAATCTCCACAAACTCTTCTGATATAATGGTATCTAATTTTTAGTAATGAAAACATACTTCTCGACCAAAATTTTCTTATCTGAAGTGAATTATTAATTATGATGACTTAAACTTTTCATTAAAGGGGCCTCTTCTGAAATGTTTTACCACTGATAAACATAATGAAGGTTAATATATGCAACAAATATTCTCATAATATATATAAATGATATATTAAATAAAATTGACTGAAACACATACCTTTGTTGTTGGAATAAGGGAACATATTGAATTATGCATTGTATTTAGTTGATCTTCAGGTCTGCATTCTGTCGGTAAACTACCAAGTGACAAATCTGTAAGAGAATCTGTAGAATCATGTCTATTCCCATTTTCTAAATTAAAATCACATCTGAAATTCGATAAATTAGGACTATCTTGAGAACATGTATAAGTTAATAGGCATCTGTTATTATTAGATAAATGGGGTTGATTTGTCACTGATGAAGATGTTTCATTTTGTTCTTTACCATATTTATTGTTGATAGTTGTTTTTGGTTGTTTTATAGATGTATTAGAATGATGATAATTGTTTAAACTACTTGCAGAAGTTGTTGCAGATGAATTGCATTGAGTTATACGGTTAATTGCACTACTCTTGTTAATATCATTTTGAGATGTAGTAGCTACATTCAATGCTGATGTTAACGGTGTCATACCCATTGGTATAACGCCATTCTGTTGTAACATATCTTCTAAATTTTCGATATAATCTATAGCATTTCTTAAAATTTCCACTTTTGGCATACGTTGGTTTGGATTAGCGCATGTACGTTTTTTTAATGTTTCAAATGCTTCATTAACTTTACGTAAACGACGTCGTTCACGCATTGTTGCAGCTTTTCTCCTATCAACTTGCATTGTTTTCTTCTTACATGCTTTACATGCCCATAGTAGACACTGTCCATGTGAACCAGGTGCAATAACATGCTCTTCCTAAGAAAATAAGATAAGAAAGAAGGAAGAAATATTGACACTATTTACATACTACTTCTTTTTTTTCCTGAAATATGTTTGAAGTGTATAACTAATGTTAAAATGACATGTTACACGATGTAATTTAATTCCGAATAACAAGTCATTGATTTGTGTATTATTGACTTTAATTCCAATTTATGTTAGCTATTAATGTGACAATTGTATAACATATTGTTATTTTATATGAAAAATTTTTTATAAAGTAATTCCTTTAGGGTATCTGGTCATCAGTTATCACTGTAATTAGAGTTAAATGAGAGGTAATAAACATGACGACGTTGATGATGATGATGGTGTTTGCTATTAAATAGGATGAAATTCTATTATTATTCTTATAATAAGCTAGTTATTTTTCAGAATGCATAAGTGAAAACTGAATAATAATTGCAAACAACAGGCGCGCTGACAATTATCTACAGAAATACATAGATACATAGATATACGAGTTATTATACTTAACTATATTTCAGTGTATATTTGTTTCGTTAAACTGAACAAAGGGAAAATACTATGAATAGATAATTCTGTTTCTATTTTCACGAGGAATTTCTGTGTGGGTGTGTTTAAGAATAAAGGAGATGGGAAAAATGTAGCTATTACAATTACTACTACTGAACTATTTTTTCTCAATGTTATAGTAGAAAATATTTTTATCAAAACATTTTAGTTACCATGGCATAGAAGGTACAAATAAGAGTTAATAGCTGTGCACACATACATACACATGCATACAGACAAATATGAAGATACGTAAGGTGACAACAGGACAGGAAAACTATTATGCTTGTAGGTGGAAGATGGATGTCATCAACTGATTTACGACTAGAGTGGGTGATGTTGTACACATGAACAGATCTGTAATCGGGTGGGTGTTTTCATAGAAAAAATAATCATTAGAAAGAAAATGCGTATAGTAACTGTAACATTACATTCTTTTAATTTAGTATTTTGTATAATCGACTACATAATTCAGAGTGATGACATTTTAGCGTCAGTTGTTCGCGATATATATATATATATATATATATATATATATATATATATATATATATATATATATATATATATATATAGTTCGTAGTTATATTCACTCGTTTACGAGTGAAGAAAAGTGGGTCTATTTACAAACAGAGAAACTACATGTAATTACTACCTACCATTTTGTTTGTTTATGAGGAATAAAATAATAATATAAGTTCAAGAGGGAAGGAATGAAAATAAAACAAATTAAGAGGTAAAAATTTACATATCGACTTAGAAGAAAATGAAAAAGAGCGAAAAAACAAATCAGAGTTTCCAAGGTAATTTTTTTTAATAAAATTAAGTGCAAAATAACCATAACAATAATATTATTTTTATTAATGAAGATGATAATAACCATAAACATTAAATGTAACTGAAATGAATACTTTGAAAAAGTTTAATAGTATGAAATGAAGTGAACAACTGTTCAAAATGAGACATATCAAGATTTTAAGCTAATAATTTGAGTCTCTATAATGCTTTCTGTGTCACACACACACACACACACACGAGAATTTCCCTATAGAAATCTTTATAATAGGTATGAAACTTTAACTGCTAAAATATTTATTTTACCTTGGATTCACAGATGTCAAAGTATTGTTTTCTTTCATTTTCACGGTCCCTTTCTCTCTTTCTATACAATATGTATATATATCGCTTGTAAACAATTCGCTGAGTAGCAGAAGTTATTGTGTTACTTTTACAGAGCATAATGTAAACAAGACTATTATTATTAATAGTGTCATCATATGGCAATATTATTGTTCTATTGCTATATGCTTTGAAAAATAGTGAAAAAAAGATAACTACGCTTCTTAATAATACATTGATTATCCATTACTCCAAATATGTAAGATTTATTCTTCTGGAAAATCCTTTACGTAAGGGTTTCTAGTAGAAACTATTATTGACTATTTCTACAAATTACTCACTCATTAATAACCGAGTGATTACACTAGAGATTAGTTTCTAATGATGGCTTCTCCAAAGTACGAACGAGAAACTGTTACCCGTAGATTCGACCAATTAGTAACTCACAACACTGTTAGTGAGGGTTGAATTATATCTTAAGCTTTCTTCATTCAAATTTTTGGACAGATAAGATTTTGTTTTTTTTGGGAAACCTGATATTCTTGGATTTAGTCTCATACTTATGGGTGACGTTGTAGCTAATCATGATACATACTCAGGCGCGCACTCAGTTTCTCCACAATTTTCATTGAATCTCCTTCAGTTTCACCTAGTAGTGAAAATTAACTGTAAAATGCTAGCTGGGATTCTTAATTACCTGTTATCGGTATTCAGAACTGTAACTGATTAGTCCCTGTCGACATACGAGCATCCTGAGTGAATTGCATCAATATAGCATTATGTCATAAATTTTGATATATTTGTGGCCAGAAATGGAACATATCATTTGCAGTCCTTTATACCAAAAAACGGGAGATTCTAGAACCTAATTGATACCTTCATACCTGTTCAAAAGGTTAGTGATTATCTGGTCTCATACCTCATTGGATTGTGAGTTGAGCATTTAAAACGATGAGCAGCGTCCGATGTTCGGCGTCTACATCAGTACTGTAATGTAGATGCAACCAGTTGGGGAGTCTGAAACAGGAGTTATGGATTCCTATACTAGCTGTACACAAAATATGTTAAATTACCTTCAGTGTTCAAATATCTATATAAAATTGTGTAAGCTAAATGTACAGTTCTGTTTACTTTCTTATCAACTATCAACATGCTTTTAACGTTAAAAGTTTCTTTATCCTAAACGAAAATGATTATGTAATCCTGTCTGAAAGATTAAATAATACTTGACATGTGATAAAAGGGTATTTTATTTTTAATGTAACCAGTTATTCAATACAATTACAATCCACTTTCATTTAGTTATTTCAACGTCATTTATCATTAAAAGATTATATCATACACATATATAACTGGTATGCTAATTTATGCATATTGTCTATCAAATTTTTAGATAAAAGAGAACTAGACGTTTTTACTGTTCAGTTGATCTATCCGTTTAATGCTTCACTGCCTGCATCATATATATACTGATAAAAACAGTAACAATAAGTGAAGTGGGATATCTTTTATTGGAAGCTGAAGCGTTGGAAGGGGGAGAGCAGAAGGTCGAATATGCTTTTCTAAGTTAAGACTAAACTTATTACACATGATTTATCTTGAATAAGTTAATTAGATAACATTATTTAAAGGATGATCCTTTTCTTAATGAAAACTTTCTTTATGCAGGTCAGATTGTGTTGATTTGTGTTGACCTCATGGAGTTTTATTATTATTATTATTATCAGAATGAGATTTTTCATTGAGAATATTTAAAGGTGGGATTGATCAGTGAAGTAACTTTTTAGATAAGTTAGAAATGTTCACTTTGGTTTACTTAAGAGAGATAGAAAGATGAAAATCTGGAGAGCCATTCAAAATGTCTTCATCAATTAATATTTTAACTCAGCAGGGTAATTCATGTAGTTGAATAATATGCTTAATTTTTTTTTAGACTGATGATACAAAGTTTCTATTGTGTAAATGAGAATTTACATGAATAGATTGAGATATAAATTTACATAGCAAAAATGAGAATATATTGGATATTCTTAATATAAGTTTAACCAGTTTTTTCATCAATTTTAAGTGTGAGACAGTCACAGTGATATCGGAAGATTTTTGGACATTATTACGAACTTATCAAAGTTAAACAGATAAACCATTATATATCAGGTTCGTGTTCTAAAGGTTAAGTGTTAGTCCCGAGACATAAAGGCCCTGGGTTCAACCTCCAGTTAACCTATGCTTATCTTATTTTTGGTATGGATTGTAGTCTGTCGATCAGGTTGCTATACGGTCATTAAACTAAGTTACGTGATAATTTGTGTCATATGAAGTTGTTGTGCTATAAAACTGAAGCCAAGAAAAGTTGGTGTTTATTTAAAAATAGTTTTTCTATATCTCATTTAAACATTACTTAAAATAATAATTAATTATTTGCATCAAACTTAGATATGAAAGATTAATTTCAGGTAAAGTGCCAAGATTATAGTGTTACCAATCAATTCTAGGTTTCACACAAATATACTGCACAATTTTTTAAAATCTGTCTTCGAAATTATTTTGACTCACTTGCTGTGTTTTATTAAAACATTAATAATCATTTATGGCTTCGAATCCCGCGAGGTGGGATCTTGGATGCGCACTGCTGAGGAGTCCCACAATAGGATGAAACGGCCATACAGGTTTTCCATTGTAGTCTAGCTTCAATTGACTCATGATCTTAACTATTAAAATTACTATAATATCCACAAAGCCCCTTCTGATATTAATTATTTATATATTTATTCATATATTCCCACTTTATGTTATGAGTTACAAGTTCATGTAAAGTTAAATTGAGTATACACATTTTATTACACATAATTATGACTTAAAACGCTTCATTTTTAACAAACAGTTTGCTTGTTTACATCTTAATCTACTTTTTCTATTTCAGTTTAAATAGATAAGTGAATCAAGGTAGGGTCAGTAAATCTTTACATGGAAAATTTCAGACAACATATTTACTAGGTACACACAAAGTTTATTTATTCAATAAATAAATAACTGAACTGAGTAATCATCTTTGATTGAATTCTAGATACAAGATAATTAGTTATTATATACTTTTCATTTAATTAAAAAAACTATCGGTCAGACATGATTAGCTCAGTGATTGAGTTATATGTGTACGAGCCCAAGTTGTCATATCGTATTACTGTAACAACATGAACTTTAAAAAAAAAACGAATGAGAAATCAAATACTGCGGGATCGATGGTAAAAGAAAAGACTAAATTTTGAGGATAGTTTTAAAAAGATGACATAAGAAAGATGTGTATGAAGGAATGTCGAAACTCAACATCTTGAAGAAAATAATGAAATTAAAACATGGATCACTTAAAATACTTACTTTAGTTTCTTCAGTGTCATCATTATCTGAATCAGATTCGTCATCTGTACTACTACTTGTATCATCGCATATATTCGACTTCATTACTACTGTTTTCATCGTTGACTGTGAAGTTTGTAATTCATTTATTGCTGTATTGATCAAATGATGTTTATCTATACTCATTTCTGCTTGTTTCATACGAGAATAACGACCACGTTTACGTAATGATGAGGTTGCTTGTTGCTGTATACTTGGTCGTTCAGGTTTCAGTGGCATCGTTGTTGAGTCTGAATGCATCATTGATTTAGTACGTTTTAGTGATGTAACTGTAGGATTAGTTGTTGGCAGTTCTGTTTGTTTTCGTCTATCGTTTTTAGTTTTTTCACTTATTATTTGTTCTGTGTCAATAGATGATTTATTTGAATCCGGATTTGTATATTTATCAGTCTTTTCTATTGATGTATTATGTGATGGCGATGTTATATGGAAACTGTTATTAGTTATGTAAGATGCTGGTGGATTGCTGACAAGTTCCGATTTTTGACAAGTATTTTTATTAATTGTGCTTTGTAGATGAGTCTGAAATTCATTTAATAGGCAATGAGGTCTTTTCCCTGAATTGTTATTATTATCTGACGATGCGTTGCCAAGTGAACTTGAAGATCTCGATGCAGCTGATGAAGTTGAAGAGGACCCATCAAAAAGGAGCTGTGTTTGATTAAAAACACTCACAGAATTCTCACTTGTTGTGGTAATGGGAGTGGTAGCGATTTGTGTAGAAACTGGCAGACAATATATATTATTATTATTAGTGCTACAACTACTATTGTCATTGTTATCAAAAGATTTGGATATATTTGACACGTGTTGTTTGGCTTCTGTAATTAATAAACGTTGTGGTGTTGTATTTTGTAACAGATCAGGGCTATTATAAATGCTGTTGTTCAAATAATCTATTTGACGATTACCAAAGTTTGCTTCTGATGATAATGGAGTTGATGTGAAATGACTTGGCGATGTTAAATATTTACTAGATTGACGATGTTGGTGTTGTGACATTGATGATATTTCATCTGGATACATATTCATCTTATCTGGTGTCCAATTAGTTGATAAACTAAATTCATCACTTGTAATCGAAGGTATTATAATTGATGATGGAATTATTGTCTGTTCATTGGAAACATAATTTTCAGGATAAGATGACTTCAAATTGTTGAATGTAGTCTGTCGAGAGTTTCTTATATATGTATTATATTCATTTGGTTGTAATAATTGTTGTCTTTGTTGATGCTGTTTATGTTGACGTAGATAAGTGTTATCATCATTTTCATTATCATCAGCATCATTTAGCCTTTCTACTTTAACAAGTTCACCTTCAGGAACATGTTGATAATGGTACATTGATGGTGGTAGGAACTCATGATTATTATGTGGATTAGATAAAATAGTTTTATGACATAATATTAAGTCATCATCAATTGTCGATGTTGAAATGTTGTCAAAGTTATGTTTACTGCTATTATTAGTAGTATTGGTTACTAACTGATGTACTAATGTTTGAAACGGTGACTGATTTACAAACTGTGAATAATGGTCCAGATGACGCAATACAGATGTTTTTATTAATTCTGTTTCATTTGGTAATACTGTGATAAATTCTTCAGTCGGCGGTTGAAGGAACTGAGAATTCAGTGAAAACTCAATTTGATCACATAAATTAGTTTGATATGTTTCTGCTGTAACTGACGATGCTGCTGTCACTGACGCTGTTGTTGTTGTCGAGGTTGGTGATAATGATGATGATATAGAAGGCAAATGGTGATTTGAATTAACTAATGGAATGAATGAATTTGCACATCTAAATGGATTATCACTGTTATTGTTATTATTATTCAATGTGACAATAGGATAATGCGGCTGATTTGTTGTATAATGTGAATTAGTCGAGTATTGATTTGACAAATTCCCGTAGGGTGAATTGGTAGAAGACGATAGTCCATAATGATTAGTTTGACTATCTAATATGTTATGACTGTATTCGGAGTTGTTTTCTACATTGAAACTCACCTGTTCATTTGTTAATGCAATATGATGATGATTGATAGATGAGGTGAAATGTGTCGAATTTTTGGCTGTTGCATTATTATTATTATTAATCAGTTGTGTAGGATAATTTAACAATTGACAGGATTCGGTAGGTATATCATCTACTATAATACTGCTATTATTACTGTAGTTAGTGAATGTACTGTTTAAATGGTGGTGTGACTGATCATATTCTCCAATCATAATTTTGAGTTCACGTGATTTTAAATGTGTAGAAAATTTTCCGAGGATTTTTCAAATAACACAAAAGGACAACTGTTAACTTTCTTGTCAAAGATTTATGTATATGTGTATTTATGCATAAATCAATTAGTTATTGATATTAATAATGTCAAATCTGTAATAATCTGATCACTTGAATAAAATCAATTTTGTTGGTACTTGGACACGGGAATAGTAAGCAAATCGATTATCCTGTTTCACCGTATAATATTATTCAATACTTATCCAGATAAAAAGCGGTATAAGTCAGCAGGTGAAATCACCGCAATAGTTTTGATCAATTTCTGTTGTTTTTTCGTGTGTAAGACAACAGTTGGTATTACTCGAGTCAGCTGCTAACCTGAATTTTTTCCTATGTACGCACAAATGTGGTTTAGTGTAATTGTGTATATCTTCGTGTGTATGTATGTATGTATGTATGTATGTATCCGGAAATGTAATAAGATTCAACACGAGTTGAATATTGTCGAAGAGGAAATAGGAAATTTTTGACTGTTAACTATAATGAAAAAATTAAACAGTTTTTGAGTGCTGCTGTTTTCCTCTTCCAGTTAATAATTTATTTCTTATCAGTGGGGAAATGTTGTATATTCTTGGACAATCCTTTGAGAGAAAATAGTTTTTCTTGTTTTTTTTATCTTCTGGTTACATAAAAATGGAAGTATATTGATGATAGTTCAATTAGTTGTGAACGTGAACAGTTGTTGATCTTCTCAAAATAGTACAGAATCTTTGAATAAAGAAAATATAAATGTATGACCTTGTATAAATGAATCTTTAAGATCTGATGGACACAGTTTGACAAGTACAAGTTTTTGGTTATGCACGAAGTTGAAGAAGAAGTTATTCAATTAATATTCTTATTGTTATTTGGAACAGTTGACTTTCGTAGATAAGTGTATATACACACGTGTATGTATAATGTTAAACAGTTGCTTTTGACTTGGTTGGAACTGACTATTCAAGATTATTACAGCAACTGTTGTGGTAACTTTTTTTCCACCTCTTCTGTTTAAAATTGCTTTGGACGATTTGTGAATGAATAACAATTGTTACTCTAAATGATTCGGTTGTTTTAATCAAAGAAAATATATTTGACAAGTTTGCGCAGTTGTACCACAGAATTTATTCTTTAAGTATACTGGTATATATAAACCCATCAGTGGTACACAATTTGTTAGCAACATCACCACCCTGTTCTAGTAATTTGTGTTCTTTCTAAATTAAATTAACTTTACTTTTATTGGTTAGTAATATTAAGTATTCCGATTTCTTGTCTACCAAATGTAGTTTTCTTCCCATGATATTGATTTGCACAAGTGCGCTACAAATTAAATTAATTTGCAATTATAAATGTGTGCAGACTAAAAATTATTTTTCTACCCTTCCAAAAATCGAATTAACACAATAATTTTAATTGGTTACTTATTTCGCAGATGAAATTCAATGCCCAAGTGCATAATACCACTTGGCCAATGGCAATAAGAAGAGATGCAACACAATTCCTACTGTGTAAGTCGTCTATAGTAAATCACCACGTGATAAGGTGCACATATTGTGTGAATAGATTTTAACGAATTTAACATGTGAATTTTTTAAATCTTCAAAGTAGACTCCTAACAGAATTAGCATTATACCGACTACTACTACTACTATGATTCGGGTCACAAAGAAAGAGATAGTCTCCACAAGGTCGTAGACACATTCTGTTGTTGACTGTCATCTGGGATAAAACCAAGACCTCCGATTGTCCAGCAATAAAACTGGTCGTAATTAGTTTGTTTAGAGTAATAGTAGTGATAGTTAAAACCCACAAATTTTCTACTTTAAATAAAAGCTTTGTCATACAGAACCCCTCATTAATAATTACGGCAGTTGTTTCCAAAATCTGTTGTTGACATAATTTTATCCTCTGGTGATGGGATCTGAAAACGGTCAAATATTTTTGTCATGATAAAAATAAATCTAGAAATAAATAAGTACATTTTATCAAAGATACTGGTAGTCTTGTTATTGACATGAACAGCAAAACTTTTAACTAAAGAAAAGATGAATAGTGGCTAGTAGCAGAATCCAAGACGCACGTTTCGTCGCATTTGGAACTCGTCAGCTGGATGTACCTGCATCCCTGAGTTAATGAGTCGCTTCGGTACTCGAACCCAGTACAGTTCTCTTCAAATGTCATTGGGTTTTGTGCCCTTAATACACTGTACAGTGTATTTTCCGTACGACGATAACATTCTGCATAATTTCATGCTAACTTTACTTTACTTAGTTTCTATGGTTGTTTGTTCTCATTAATGACGCTAATGTGATCGTGTATATTGCGGGAAACCCTAGTGATGTGTTCCTGAATTTTTGTACAATCACTTTATATAATTATTTTTTTGTTCTCATATTTTCATGTAAACTTGTACTCTTTTTACCCTGAAATATACCTCAAGATTAATTATACACAAAGCCCTTATATTATCAAAATTACGACTTATTTCATTCGTTAAATAGTCCATTGGATCTCGTTGTATGTACGGTTCTCCAAAGAAACTCCAATCAGTGGCTTTTTGTCAGTTGTTTTAAACGATCCAATGCAGAAAAGCCCAAATCGTTACCCCTCAACTTACATCCGTAACTTAACAAGAGGATATTCTGGGATGTTATGGAACAATCTGTATTAAGCAGCTACTCATGTTCAATAGACGAGTAAGCTTTTGCCAGCAATTCATAGAAAGTTGCTGATCTCTCAATAAATCACGTATTAACGTACATCAGGGAAATATGAAAATAGTCAAACTGGGTATATATATATAAATATGACATCCCTTGTGGTACAGCACATTATCCCAAAGTCGACAATGCTTCTTGAAACGACCCCAGAGCACCAACTAATATAGCAATAGACGTATCTGAGCCAACAATCAGAGAGGCATTAAATTAACTTGTAGACAACAACTGGGAACAATACGCCTTCTCTTTGAGGCGGCTGAAAGATATCGAATAGAAATATAAAATCCCTGGTTTCCACACAGGTTCCTGGTGTCTAACAAGATAGTTAGTGTACTCTAAGAAATCAAAATCCGCGTATAATTGTAGCTTAAATCAACTTTAGTAAGGCCTCCAACAAACTTCCGCATAAACTGATTACTTAACTTTCTTCCATGCGCAAATAATATTTGACTGGACGTCAAGTATGAATTATAGTTATCTCTAGCTTGTTTGTCCGATTGATAGATCGTAATTTGTGGTGTGCCTCAGCACGCGTTTTGGGAAGTAATGCTATTTCGCCTGTATATAAGTGGTGCTCTTAGCCTCATATCCTCATCTGTTTGTAATATGCCAAAGAGATGGGCTGGAGTTATATTATACCGATAGGATAATTCATATGAACATAGCGTATCAAATAGAGAATTTTACCGTTTAGTGAATGAAAGGAGTATACCTAAGTATTATTTTGACTTCGTAATTAATTTCATGTCACAATATTCATCTTATTCATAAAAATTTCTCACTTCTGTTACTGTGTTACGCTACACTTGTCTGAAGGTGACATGTATTACTTTTTGTTTATCAGGCTATAAATTGAGGACAGACTGATTTTAGGGATTTTAAGGAGTTTTAGGGCTGTATTAAATCGACTTAATCTTCAATGGAATGGTTTAAGAGTTCTTAGGTCAAGTATAAATTACTTAGCCGTAGCCTGGATTGCTGAATCAAATGCATTGAGATTAGACAAAATAACTTCATTCTGAATCACTTCACAACTTGAAGATAATATATTAATAGATTAAATAATATCCATTTCGAATTATTTTAAAAACTAGGTACAAACTCAGATTTCTCATCCCACATGGAGTTTAGACTGAAGTTGAGAAGTCTACTAAGTAACTATCACAAATAAGTGTGATAATTAGAAGTACCTGAATTATTTTACGAAATAGGAACCCCCAAAATAACGCAATTTCGACCAAACGCAACTAGGTAAGTACAAACGAACGTATTATCTTGGAATTCGAAATCAGACAGTCATCAAGTAAAAAGAACTTGTAGTGACTCACGTTTATCACGAGAACACGACTGGTTTAATAAAAACAATTATTATTATAACCAACTGTACCAGTGTTTGTTTTAACGTGCTTTTGTTTGACTGTGCTAATGACAGCTATTTTGTGCTTCCATTCTTTCGCTTACACTTCGATTGTAACTTCGCGCGAATTCGGTTACCTTCTGTAACCAAGGTTGTATCCTGGCACGATCTCGGTATCCTTTCGATGCCACGAGATCGCCAGCTAATAAACCTCGACTTGGTCCATTAACTGTCTTTTGATATTTGGCTTCTCGGGGATTTTATAGATTTATCTGGTTACGTTCAACCTTCGCCTTCTGATTTACTTGGAACGTGTTTCTTGGTAGCGGTGTTCATAGTTAATCTTCAACTCGACGCCACGCTACAATTGGTAATCCCAATTTGAATACAATTGGTGACCCGTATTTTAGAACACGCCTCAACTTCTGATCAAATCTTCCAAAGAAGCCAATTCGGTGAGTCTATGATTTATCTATCCACGTCTGTCGTATATTTTCATATTTTTTAATATATAATATACGCGACATGACGGATAACGATAGGAATAGTATTCGCGTGATGATGAATTCCACGCTTTATTCGAGAAATGTTACCCTATTAACGATTCTCCTCGCTGACCCGGCTGCTTGGTACGGAATGCATACGCATAAGCATATCCGTCTACCACCCAGCACCAAATGGTTAAGTTGAACGGTTTCACTGCCAACTTAAAAGTGTTCTACGAGCACACGAAAACGGCAACTGGCACGAAACCATACCGCTCGTTCTTTTAGGGGCGAGAACGAGCTTAAAGGCAGATATCCAATGTTCCGCCACTGAACTTGTATACGGCACGACATTGCGTCTACCCGGAGAATTCTTCACACCACGGAGCAGACCTAATTTCGGTAAATCAGACTACGTCCATCGACTGTCTGCATTTATGCGAACGCTGTCTCCGGTGTCAACTCGAATACAACATCGACAGGTCGCTCTCCCTCGAGAGTTATCTACCTGTTCACATGTTTTTGTACGAGTAGATTCGGTACGCAAACCTTGGCAACAACCTTACGAAGGCCCTTTTCACGTGATCGCTCGTCACGAAAAGACCTTCAAGGTTGATCGATATGGACGCGTCGAGATCGTCAGCATTGATCGTCTCAAACCAGCACACGTCGATGACAGTGCCCTATCTGACACCCTGAGATTCAATGCTAGACCTATCAAACCTAGCGGGATCCTTAAATCTTCTTCAAGTCCCACGCTAGATGCATCTGAGACCTCATTCTCACGTCCCAGTCAACAGCACGCGTCATCTGCACCGTCTACGGACGAGACGTCAGTCTCACGTCCAGATCAGCAGACCACGCCGCCCTTGACTTCGGATGAGATTGCAGGCTCACGCGACGCGAACGAGACTGCCGTCTCACGTTCCGGTCGCCGAGTACGGTTACCCGTACCCTTCCGCGAATAGTCGCACAGTCAACAACCGATACGGTGTAGGATTATTCCTGTACTACACGCATGCTACACTCTTCTCTTTTTTCATTTTCTTTTTGTTTCCTGAGCCCACGCCTTCGACCATCTACGTTTGGTTCCGTCGACTTCAGTCAACTTTGGCGAAAGCTGGATTGGCCACCCACGCTCTTGTCAACGTACTCAGTCTCTATATTTTTTTCGAATGCTTGGTATATGCTTGGTCTCGAACTTGGTCGTTATGGTCGCTTCTGGTTCATCGGCTCAACGTGGTTTCGTCCTTCGTCTGCAGCGTTTATGGTCCGGACCCGTACGAACGCCCTCTTCAGATTCTGGATACAAACCACTCTGGTGTAGCATGCCAACTCAAGCAACAAATACAGCACATCGCTCCTGGTACCGTTCTCCGAAAACGACCTTCGTTGGCAACTCGACGATCAACGATCGCTTTCCTGTTCGCCAATTCTTCCGTCCTACAATCGCTCGTCAGCCGATCAGTCCCACGATTTAAACCGCTATTTATCGAAAGTGTAAACCCTTTCTAGCGGGGGGCTCCTGTAGTGACTCACGTTTATCACGAGAACACGACTGGTTTAAT